CCAGAGCCGGTCTGGACGCAGAGGCTAGAGGAAAAATCCTCTGACCCCGTCGGGGATCGAACCCCGGTCGTCCAGCCCGTAGCTAGTCACTATTCTGACTGAGCTATCCCGGCTGATATGTTATAATCAGATCACCCAAAATATAAATACAACCGTTTAAAATTAAAATACAAACTCAGTGAAATAAGCCTTGAGTCTTTTCAAGAGGGTGCAGAAGTGGATGCTTGTTCTTTTCACTATAGTGATGGTTTCTCAAATTTAGAGAAAAACCTACTTAAGTTGTACAGCAACCTTCTTTTCATGCAGCGCCTTGTAGCATGCCATCTTCTCCTCAAGACCTCTGTGCACCTTCAAACTCCTTTCTGCATGGAGGTCTTCTTGCTCAGTCATATTTATAAGCTCATTCACTTTCTGTAAAATTGAAACAAGACTTTTCAGTTCAAAGACCTTTGCTGATGGTGGAGAAACCATAATGTCTTCACCTGATTTGATGTCTTGCAGTGGCACATTGGACTGCTGAAATCTGATGAGGTCTTCGTTAGACAGAATGAGATGCAATTAATTCATTGACATCTGTTGCGACCATTTTTTAAAAATTCCCGTTTAACAGCTTATTTTGTGATCTGTTCAGTCTCTTAAACTTCTTGAATGTCTCGCAAATTGCAGGCAAAGTTTCCTACATGATTGCTTAATTTCAACCCATGTTATTGACTAAATTCAATATGTTTAAGCCCTTCCAGAATTCTTTAAGGCAGTGGTCCCCAATGCGGTGCCCGTGGGCGCCGTGGCGCCTGCTAATGCTTTTTTTGGGTGTCCGCATTGATACGGAAAGAGGTTATACTGAATAATGAAGGCCGTTCAACCATGAACATCATAAAATCAAAGCACAGATCTCAGCTTACAAATGCCCATCTTGACGATTCTTTGTGAGCAGCAACATCATCGTACACTCCCAAATTTGAAAAACTGGCCGATGAAATGCAGTGGCAAACATCACACTAATTTCCCACTTGAGTAATAATAATTATACTTATAAAAGTACGTATTTTTGATTGCGTGGTTTCTTGTATCATTAAACGTTGTGTTGTTTTGCGTATTATTTAGTGTTCATATCTTATTTGTCCAGAGAAAAGAAAATTTGGCTTTGTTAATTGGTTGGTGCCTGCCACGATCTCATAAACTCTCAAATGTGCCCGTAGGCACAAAAAGGTTGAGGACCACTGCTTTAAGGGTTGGACTGGCTTCATTGCCCATTGTGGTAATTGCCTGGGTCATTGTGTGATGTGCATAGTACAAGATGGCACAACAAAACAAACTGGAGAGTCTGCTTGTTTGCCCAGACCAAAATGATAGGTTGTAACATTGGGACTTGTCAGGCATAATCACAGAGTACAGTATCAATGCACAGTGGTCATATCGTCAGGTTGGTTATAATATTAGGTGGTCGAAACCCAGGGTATGCCTGTACTGTTTCACATAAATATAAAAAAACACCTTATTCTGTGTTATGTTGTGTGTGTATCTTTTTGGGACACTTTCTGTATAATGAAAAAAATTGTCATTCTGATGTTAAATTTAGTACTTTTTTTACTAATACAGGTAGCCCTCGATTTACGCCCTTGATGCGTTCCTGGACGAACCGGCGTAAATAGAATCGAAGTAAATTGAAACTCTCTTATAATGTAAATTAATGGGAAGTCAATGACATGCGTTCCCAGCACCCAAACATTGACGAGTAATATAATGGCATTATATTTAAAGCTCTGAAATAACGTAAATAAAATTAAGGGGATTAAAAAAGATATATTTACAATCGGTAATTCGTTGGTCCCCGCGATTGACTGCTATTCTTTCATGTGACTGATGTGTATACAGTCATCTCTACTGTTATGCGATAGTTGCATTCATGTAAGATGCCGAACTATAGAAAATCGCGTAGTAAAAATAACCCCAGTACCTCTGCAGAGATTAAATTAGTCCTTTGAAAGTTTAAAGCGCCAGGAATGAAACTGCATAAGAGCAAACTCGCATATGCAAAAGTTTGTATTTCACAAACAGCTTTTACTGATTCATCGATCTCATTGGAGCAAATTCGCGTTAACGAAACTTACGTAATTGCAGAGATGACTGTATTTATAATTTTTATTCAAAATCAGCGATGTAAGAATTATGATTTAGTATAAGAATCAGTATGAGATACATTGTAAAACGTTATAAATAATAGTAATTTTCTTCACTTTTTGACTTGCTGGTTTCAAAATCGGCGTTATTCTGAATCGGCGCAAATCGAGGGCTACCTGTATTTGCTAATTGTTACAATTAAATATGTAAAGCTCTTTATTTCATGAAAACCTGCATCCCATATTTGTTTAAGTTGGTTGGTCACTAGAAAGTTCATCAGGATGACACTGTAAATGCATTTATTATTGCTTTAAAATGACAAGTCTGAGATAATTTATCTTTATATTATGTTCTTTCATCCCAGGAATTGGTATTCACATCCATGTGACTCCATATCAAGTACATGATGAGCGCCGCCCATGGATTCGCAAGGAGGAAAAAGCATTTGGTGACTTGCTAAGAAGGTTAGGAGCCCCTGTCCACAGAACCTTGCATTTTGAAAATCAAGTTGCAAGTCTGTACACACATTTTGAGGTGCTTAATGCCTTTCGGCAGGCTGCCAAGTGAGTTATTTCTTTCTAAGTACTAAAATGTGATGAGAGGAAATTATCCCCGCAACGTCCGTAACAACGTGGCTTACCTTACCAAATGGTAAGTTTCCATTAGTTCACAGATCTTCAAAAGTGAGTTCAAGATACAATGTATAGTATGATTGAATGATCAGGTTTTCCTGGTTGCACTCGTATTGTACCTATATACTGTGATGTCTTC